CAAACAAAATAAAAAATGACTTGCAACAATACATTTTTCAGTAATTGTTGATAATTTGTTTAAATTAAAAAAAATTCAAAAATTAATTACACCATTCAATTCTACCTACGGAAAAAAAATTAAAAAACTGTCTCATTGTTTGACCCAAAACATTTTTTTTGTCAGTATTGCTATAAACATCTAAATCGAATTACAAATGCACAAATGATAAATTATCTCTGGATGATTTGAGATTTCAGCAATACAAAGTATTAGCTGCAAAGTCTACTGTTGACGCGAAACCCGAAAACCCTTAATTTTGCAAAATCGTTTTATTTTTTTTTCTGGCTTCATTTGAAAACGAATTTTAAAATAAATTGCACATTTATGATGCCACTTTTTTCGCTCTATCCAATGGCGTCAACATTTTTGCAATCCGACGTTTCGTCTCCGAAAGACACTACAAAAACCGTACTCGGGAAAAATTTTAAATGATAGCTAAAAACCTTCTTAAGCGATTACAAAAGTAATATCATCTAATTCGGAATTATAAATGACTTTAGAATTGTCATAAAAATCGACATATTAAAAAAAATAAATGTGATGGTGGCCCCTCGAGGACGAAACGTCGGACTGCAAAAATTTTGACGCCATTGGATAGAGCGAAAAAAGTGGCATTGTAAATATGCAATTTATTTTAAAATTCGTATTCAAATAAAGCCAGAGAAAAAATAAAAATGTTTATAGCAATACTGTGCAAAAATAAAGTTTTGGGTCTAACAATGAGACACAGTTTTTTTTATTTTTTTCCGTAGAATTGAATAGTGTAATGAGTTTTTGAATGTTTTTTAATTTAAACAAATTATCAACAATTACTGAAAAATTCATTGTTGCAAGCCATTTTTTATTTTTTATTTTTTTTTTTTCATTTTTGAGCATGTTTTTGAACTGTGATTATAGATTTTTTTATTTCACCAAAAATTATACAGGGTGATTGGTGAGGAAACGGCCATACTCGAGAAACGTGTTCAGGAGATCAAAATATACAAAAAAGTCATATAAACATGTGTCCGATTCTTAACCGTTACTGGGATATTAATTATTAATAGTAAGCGATTAACCGCGAAAAATAATAGTTAACATTTGTTTTTTGTGGTTGTAACGTTCAGCAGTTATTGTTTCAAATAATATTTGGCATTTGTTTTTTGTGGCTGTCACATCCAGCTGTTATTGTTAGTTAGTTAGTGCTACACACTTCCGCAATGCCGGCGATATTTACACATCAAGAATATGCCGATATGATTTTCATTTATGGATACTGCAACGGGAACGCTAGACGGGCCGTTGCTGAATACCAATACCGCTATCCTAACAGAAGAACCCCTCACAGAAGTGTATTTCAATCAATTTTTGTCACTTCCCGCGAAACCGGCATGTTTCCCAGTGCAAGAATCACATCGGAACGAGAAAATGGTCTTGATGTGCGTGTAGAAGAAGAGATTCTTGATGTTGCACAACGTAGTCCAGGTGTAAGTTCAAGGCGCATTGCAAGTCGCCTTCAAATTAATCAGACAGCAGTATGGACGACTCTTCGCAGGAATGGGCTGCACCCTTTCCATATTCAGCGGGTCCAAAATCTTCAGAATGGTGACTATGCCCTAAGGTTGCAATTTTGCAATTGGGTAAATCAAAATCCTAGGCTATACCGTTACATTTTGTTTACGGATGAAGCCCAATTCACACGCGATGGAATTAACAATCATCATAATGAACATCGATGGTCAGATGAAAATCCCCATGCCACGGTTGAAAGTAACTTTCAGCATCGGTTTAGTATTAATGTATGGTGCGGAATGATCAACAATCAACTCTTGGGCCCGATTGTGTTAGATGGTCGTTTGACAGCGGACATTTATCTACAATTTTTGCAAAATCGTTTAACAGATCTACTGGATGATGTACCTTTAGATATACGACAAAATATGTACTTCCAGCATGACGGGGCCCCTGCCCATTTTAGTAATATTGTACGAAATTACTTAGATAACCACTTTCCTCGCCGCTGGATCGGCCGAGGAGGTCCACAAAATTGGCCTCCGAGGTCTCCGGACCTCACTCCTCTCGATTACTGTCTATGGGGGTGGCTAAAATCTTTAGTTTATGCTACAAAAGTTCAAACAAGAGAGGAATTATTAGACCGCATCGTCAATTCTGCCGCTGTTATAAGAAATGACCAAAGAGCACTCCAAAGAGCCACACGTGCGTTCCAAAAGCGAGCTAGTAAATGCATCGAAGTTGGCGGTGGTATTTTTGAAAATATTCTACATTGAATTGTTTTTCTTCACTTGTATAGAATAGTACATTATAATAAATGATTTGTTTCGTCATTGAGGTGCTGCTTTTATTATATTTTTTTAAGTGATATCTCCGTAACGGTTAAGAATCGGACACATGTTTATATGACTTTTTTTGTTTATTTTGATCTCCTGAACACGTTCCTCGAGTATGCCCGTTTCCTCACCAATCACCCTGTATATCAAAACGAAAATAATTATTCCCGGCAGAACTCTTCCGTAAATGAGTTATTTCGATCGATTATTTCGAACTGACCCCAAGAATCATCCCCTCAATTTATGACATGGACTTAAGTCCACACACAAATAACGAATTTTCAAATGATTTGCAATTTACGGAATAACGATTGAATTTTAAGATTTATTAATTTCAATTATTACAATTCAACGGCACTATGCAGAACCGCATTTTAAAATCTATTATTATGATTTTAAAAATTCAATGAATGAATTTCTTTATTGTATTCAAAAAGTGACCTTGTTGTTCACGTCATTATGTATATATAAGTGTAAACAGTAAATTCATTTGAATTTTGTTGACAACTATTAGGTCACATTGAAAAATAAATGTGTTTGTGTTCTATTTGTATTCTAAAGGTAATATCTGAACCAAAATGTCTTGATACGAGGAAAAATATGAAGATATCGCTTTATAGTACTTCTCTCAATTTTCATAAAAACTCACCAGTATTCTACTTATACAAAAGGAGACATCAGACGACGGAACTCAAAAAGTAGAGGCCAATCGAATTAGACACATATTAGAAACAAGACAAACACAAAATTGTTGTTATAATTAAATTTTATATAAAATTTGACGTTTCCAGAAGCCCTCTGCAGCGTATTCTCACGAAAGATTTGTATCTCCACGCTTGCCAAGTTCAATTGACTCAAGAACTGAAGCTAACTGACCACGTAAAGCAAAGAGAGTGGATGCTGATTTTTCGAAAAAATCACCATCAACGATTCACGAGTGATTGTTGAGAAACAAATGCACCCACAACGTGTTACTGTTTGGTACGGATTTTTGGCTGGAGGCATCATTGGACCAATGCGTATAAGAGTGCGTATGTGCCAGCAAAGCCTATTCTATTTATAATTTTTAATTAAAAATCTGTTTTCTGTCAAAATTACTCTTTACGTGAGTTTTGGGACATCCTTTATATGTTTTTTTTAAATTTTGATAACATTTAAATTACACATGTTATCCTGGCAATATAGCACGTGATATCCAGTCAACTTCATGTGTCTCGTTAGCAATGACTTCGTGCGTTTGCCATAAAGATTATCGTTATAGAAACGTGATCATAATATCATTGTTGCTAGCAATATTGTTACAAATTGTAGGTTTAACAATTTAGTTTGACTGNGACTCATAGGTGGGTGGTTGAGAGTTACCACATTGTTGGCGTGAGTAAACTTTCTCGTACGTTTTGCGGTATGAAGATGAGCATTATTCTGCATGAGAATGAAACAATTCCTCCTGCTTGTACACATGGGCAGGACGTGTGGTTCAAGGATTTCGGTAATGTACCTTTCGACAGTCAATGACGGGAATGATTACCAACTGAGTTCTGATATTAATGGATACGCCTGCGCATACCATATCTGAACCGTCATTAAAAGCTGTAACAGGCACGACGACGCCAAACGAGAGATCGTCAGTCGTCGCCATGAATAAATAATAAACTTAGAATGTCAGCATGTGAATAAATGTTAACTTTTTCCAATCTTTAACAATAAATAGTACTCAAATAAACGTTCACTGTATGTGATTAGGTGCTTGTGTTGAAGTTGCACTAAAAATTTCACGGCCATCCTTGCAAGAAATTATGCGCTATCCGTTGACTGCAAGAAAAACAGCAAATACCCCAAAAACCAGAAGAGATAGGTATAGGGAACCTATACCATTCGAAAAAGAACAAAATTGTTCATCAGGTTGCGTAAAAAAATACAGGGTGTTTCATTAAAAAAAAAAAAGAAAAGAAAAAGAAGAAAAGAAAAAAGAAAAGAAAAAGAAGAAAAGAAAAGAAAAAGAAAAAAAAGAATAAGTTAAGATGGTTTAAAGTTTACTAAATTCGGCATTAAATTTCTACCGCCCTGTATGAAATTAAGTCATTTTGAAATTATGGCAGGGAAGCTTAGAGTTTTAGTTACGTCCCCTATAAATTGTATCACTCTCACTTTATTATTGTAAAATACACATCTTTTTGAATTAGGCAGTGCTTTTTTATTTTTTTTTTAAAAAAAAAAATCAAAAACGGTTAACTGTAAGAATAGGAAACCTTTATGATAGTTCCGGTGTAACCGGAAGCATTAGGTGTCCACTATTACTTTACTTGAGAAGGGCATGCCCGAAAATACTTCAAAATTAAAATCGAAGTAGTCTCTGAAATATGACTGTCTCGTCACCGTGGGACACCCTGTATCTCGGTACGACATTAATGAATGAGACATCGTATTACCTCAGCAAGACTCCTTTCTAAATGTAGTAAAGAAACAAATAATGTTTAAAAAATATGTGGTGACATAGGAGAAAGCCTTGGTAGACCTAATTACCAAATCATTTTTTCGGTGTTTACCAATTTATGCATGCTTATATAATAGAGTTCAAGAACTTTGCTAAATTATATTATGTATTAGTTTGTTTCCCTAGCTAGTTGACTAGATAAATTCGTTCATTTAAGTTTATATGAAGCTTTTGATAGCGACAATTTTTTTTTAGATATCGTTTTACATTAATTTTAAATAATGTCTGTCGGAGACTTTTTTAATGGTAAATACATTCTTATAACTGGAGGATCGGGTTTCATTGGAAAAGTGCTCATTGAAAAACTATTAAGATCTTGTGGTGGGATTGAAAAAATTTATGTACTTTTAAGGAAAAAGAAAGACAAAACACCCGAGGAAAGGCTTCAAGTAATCACCGATTATCAAGTAAGCATTTAAAAGAGAGATGTAACCTCGGTGATAAATGTGTATTCATGTAAAGAGATAGTTGTAGACTTCATTGATAAATATATTGATTTCGTGTGTACTACACTGAAAGAAATGCGCTTTATTCTTTATTCGAATTCTATATGCCATTATAAGACCATTGTATACTATATGTGACAGTTAAACAGGTGAATATTGGATATAAAACGCGTACTGCTAGCACAGTTGTATAGTGATTAACCTTATTCTTTATTAAATTATTTTATAACTAGTATACAACGTTTTTTATACCCTTTACGAAATAATAGCAATAACTGTTATTAAAGTGTTCCATATCGTTATTAGAACATCTAGTACTGGTTATAAGTTTTATAATAATAAATGTATTAAACTGTTGTATACTCTGTATGAGTTAAACACATATGACATTAAGTTTTCAAAAATTTTATTGGATAACTGTAATTA